CATACATGAATGATACCATCTGAACAGCTAATAGTTATGATCAAATGAATAGCATTCTTAACATTGCTCAGTCCTTTTACAATTTAAACTCAATGAAAGTAAATTTTGACAAATCATGCATCACAATGGACAATAATAGCAATATTCATTTTACATTTCATAATAACTCAGATAACTCTATATTTACATACCCTGTTATTCCTAATTACGAGTTAATGCGTTATCTTAGAGTTTAGATCTTACCAAAATATAACAAAAAATTCATTAAAAATCAACTCTCAAGCAAAATATCATCGTTCATAGACAAAATTAGATTTAAACCACTCACAGAAAAACAATTACGATACTTAATCAATATGGTCCTGATTCCTAGACTAGAATATAAATCTAAACTGATAGTCTTATCAAAAAATGAATGTGAAGATTTGTTTAGACCAATGCGTATAATTATAAAGAAAAAACTCAGACTTTGAAGAGACTTTCCTAATGCCATTCTACATAATAAACTCGCATACGGATTCAATGACCTCTCAGCTAATGCTTTGCAAGCCAAATCTCAACAATTTATTAACATCAACTCTTCTTCAGATACATCGATTCTGAGACAGACAATTATGATTAGATTAAAACAAATCCAACTACAATATTAGTTATTTGATAATCCTATCACATGTTGGCCATCTTTCGCTTAGCATACTCAGCATGAAAATTTTTTGTCAAACATTTTGACAGAATATTTTCACTCAGATTTCAGTTTTCATAATAGTACATATATAAATCATATCTTCAAAATTGAAGGAGGATGATAATATTTTAAAAACTTTTAATGCTAAGCAAAGTGGTGGTTTTATACCCGCTTGGTTCAATACATTAAAAGATACTATTTTAATGAATCTGATCAATTCGATGCGTCTTAAACAAAAGTTCTGTACTGATACAACTTATCTAGAAGGATATAATTGTATTGAATTAACTGACTTTCTGAAATACATAGGATGGGCTACAATAGGGATTTCTGAGGAATTTAATAATTACAATCTTCCTATTCCTGGTGTACCTATTTTTAGAAAGTTCTATAAAATCAAAACCTTAGCTCCTCCATATTTATTTTAACATTTTAATATCACAAATTGCACTTTTGATCCACGATTTCTATCTAAATGAACTTCAGTATTGGTTCCCTGTATCTTTAACCAGAACAAACAATACTACAATATCAAATAAAAATTTAAATCTCTCCTATACACAGCTTTTGTGAACCCCCTGCTCCCTTGTCCTATTATAACTTCATTATTGGCTAATAGTGAAGATAGATTCCACATTCCTAAAAGATCAATTTGGCCTCTCATGGATCAAGCTATAGCATGTTTTAAAAGTCTTAATAATACTAATATTTCTTATGTGTATAATGATGCTCTCAAAATAGACTTAGAATATATTACTATTGAAAAACTTTTTAATGACCCTGACTGTATTAGTACTTTGACTAGATTTAAAAATAGATTGTTTTCTGAAACTAAATTAGAATTCTATACAGATAATTCTCACCTATTTATTGATACCTCAGTTTCTTCTTACATTAGTTCTGCTTTTTTGTTAATTCATGATAATATAGATATTAGTTACACTGCTGCTTTAACTCCAATTTGGGTCAACTCCTCTAACGCTGAAATTTTTGCTCTTTTACTAATACTGCTTATTTGTCCTTTTAATTCCTAAATTACCATTAACACTGATAGTTTAAATCTCATTCTTACATATAATAGATTAGTACACACAAATGCCTCTAGATACCCTTCTATCCTTCTCAAAACTCCTTTTTATCTCTTTTGGTGTTTTATACTTAGAATTATAGAACAAAACCAGATCGCTCTTCATTTGGTTAAAGTTAAATCACACTCAGGGAATCCATATAATGAAAACGTAAATAGTTTAGTAAAATCAGCCCTAATGCAACCTCCTTTAACACTTTTACTTAATTATATTTCTTACATTTCATTTGTTCCTACTTTTTGTCATATATCTATTAACAAGGAAATTAGACTTTTCTTCAAAGACTACACCAATACAAACACTATTACTGAATTTCTCGGTTTAAAGAGGAACTCTAAATACTCTGAACTATCTGTTAACTGGTTCTGTACCTTCCAGCTTATCAATTATAAACCCTTGAATCAAAGAATTATATTATCACAAGCGAAAATACTAACTCCTTTTAGAGCTTCTTCCTTCAATTGAAAGTCTCAAAATTTCAAGACCTGATTTATATGACGATAGCTGGACCTGCTGTAAATGTCTCATAGAAAAAGAATCATTTTACCACATATGGCTTTGTTTAATAAATCACCACTTACTCAATCAAATAGTACTCAGTGCTTTCGTTAAACTCAAAAAACAACTTTTTATTCATACATCTAAAACTGAATGGTCTAATGATTTAAATGCTTTAATGAATTTAATTTTTGATTACTGGATTCTAATCACTAACTCTTTTATGAAATTCAAAATAGTAAACATGATCAAAGGAATCATTCCTAGCCATTTATTCTTCTGCATCAATAACTTCACAAACTATAACAAAAAAGCCATAACTATCCTATCTGTTTTTTTCGAACATATATAAATTCAAGTAATTACATTAATTTGGATTCCCAGATATGACTTGACTATTGCCACAGAACTGCAACTTGGAATAACAAAAAAGAAAAAACTTTATACCAAAGCTCCTAAAAACAGTAATCCCATATCATCATCTCTTCTCCCCTACTCATCTAACTCATTCTCCTCAATTTCTAAATTTACTAACTTATTTTACGATACTTACATTCATGGTCGATCCTGACCTCTTTTTAAAGCAGTGAAAACTAGTTGTCTATTTTTCTTTTTATTAGTCATGTAGTAACTTTTCTTCTCATAGTAGTTGTTTAGGAATATGACGGGACAACCGGTTGGTTTGGTCAGAGTTGGTTAAACCCTTTGAAAAGAGCTAAGTAGCATTTACTTTATTCTTCTACTTTTGTACCTGTCTTGGAAATTTTCTTTTTTTAATTGAATTTTGAATTTTGAATAAATAAATGCTTCACCACATCTTTAAAAAAAAAATGATGTAATAAATCAGTATTTTTTAACTTATTTTATTAATAATTTAACTGCATTTGCATATAAATAAAACTAATTAAATAAAAAGAAATGCAAATATGATTGCTTGTCTTTAAAAGCTTATATCTCATTGATATTAGATTTCGATTCTCCTCATTATAGCAATTCTAACAAGCTAAAAATCATCCAAATTGAATCAGTAGATTGTGAGTAATAGACGTGTAAGGTTCGATTATGCAATATAAAAAAATTAGTTTAACTATTTTATATAATGTATAATCGATCGTTACACATCAATTTCTCATGATCTACTGATCCGATTTGAACGATTTTTAGCTTGTTAGAATCGTTGCACTGAGAAGAATCAGAATTTAGTATTTGTTTTATAATAGTTAGCTTGCCTAAAAAAAATTTCTAAGCTTTTAAATATAAATCATGTTTTTACAGGTTACTGTAACTAATTAAATAAAAAGTTTATTTATAATTCTGATTAATACATAGCATTACTTAGTCTTAACTATATTGTCTTTTTTATTATAGCCTAATATAATATATTTAAATTAATCAAATTTAATGTAGCTTTATATATAGAGTTATTTTATAGATAATCTAATCATTTTTTTAAAATCTTTTTTAAATTTTCTCTCATTTCTTTCTTTTGAGTTAATTTTTTTACGTGATTATTGTGACAAATTATAATTCAAAAGTTTTTACTTTTTTTTTCTTTTTTTTTGGTTTTTTATTTATCTCATTTTTTATTAAAGTTTTTTTACTTTTTTTTTTAATTTTTTGTAGTGTATTTTTTTTAGTAATAATGTCAGAAATGATAAATTCAAACTTTGAAGATTTTTCTGATATTTATTTTGATGAAAGTAATATAAATAATATTCAAAAAAAAAATGCTTAGAAGAAAAAAAAATTAGTTTGGGAATATTTTGAAGAAGATGGAGAAAAAAAAATAGGCATATTAGATGTATTTGTAAATTATGTAGATGGACAAGAAAGGTTGGAAAAGCTTTGAAATAGTTAAACATTTAGCTTTCACATGTATGCAGGCAACTAGAGCAACTAGAGAAATCAAAAACATATTTTTACAAGAAATAAAAATCGTACAACATATGAGAATTCCTCTTCTACTATCACCTCTTCTACTACAACCTCCTCTTCTACTAAACAAATCAAAGTTCAAAATCAAAAAAATTACTACAATGTTTGATAATATTAAAATTGATATTGGAAAAGAAAAAAGATGTAATCAAGCTCTTACTAAATTTTTTTATTTGTTATGATCTTCCTTTTCATATAATTTCAAATCCATTTTTTGTGGATTTTGTGAAATGTTTATGTCCTTCTTATAATCTTCCTAATAGAGTTACATTTGCTAGTAGTTGGATTAATATAGAATTAGCACAAGTTACGTATACTATTCTTAATATATTAAGAGATTCTAAAAATGTAACATTAGGTTTGTTTACTTTATTTATTTTTATATGAATTTATGATTTAAATTTAAAATTAAATAATTTTATAATTTTAGGATTAGATGGTTGGAGTGAACCAAGAGAATCATCAATTTATGCATTTATTTTAATTTTACCTTTAAAAAAAGAATATATATACTCTTTACAAGATCTTTCTGAATATTCACATAATGCAGATTTTATATCTGAAAAAATTATAAAAATAATAGAAGAGATTGGACCTGAAAAGTTTTCTTCAATAGTATCTGATAATGCAGCAACAATGGTAGCAGCAAAAAAACAAATTAATGAAAAATATCAACATATAATTCCAGTTCGATGTATTACACATCATGTCAATTTATTAACTACTGATATAATGACACACGAACATTCAAAAAATACAATTTCATTTTGTATGAAGATTGTTAATTATTTTAGAAAATCATATCAAAATGGGGCTTATTTGACTCAAGAATTAAAAGAAAATTTAATTATAGGAGGTGGATTACGAGGATATTCAAAAACACGTTGGACAACAGCATTTGATTGTCTTGCATCAATAAAAAGATGTGAAAATGCATTTTATAGTGTATGTTTTTTTATTTTAAAATAAATTTGTTATTTTTAATTAATAATAATAAAGTTAATTATATTTTTTTATATCATTAAAGCTTTTAGAAAAACATCCAGAAACTCTTAGAGATGATATCAAATCTTTATTAAGAAATCGTATTTTTTTTCAAGATGTAGAAGAATTAATCAAATTGCTTAAACCAATTAAAGAAGTTATAGTTTCTTTGGAATATAAATCTACTTCTTTATCCGATTGTTTTATTCAATTAATGAAACTTGGAATTGCATTCAAATCATATCCTACTATAACAAATGTCTTATTTCGATCATATTGTATTGATAAATTTAATCATCGTTGGAGACAATTTGATTTCAAAATTTATTTGTTGGGATATTTTTTTCATCCATCATATCGAGGTATATATAATAAATTTTTTAAATAAATATAAATATATATAATTTTTTAATAATCAAATCATATTATTTATTTTATTTAGGAAAAGGATTTAAATCTGATGTTTTTAGACAAATTTGTCATACAGCTCTTGAACTTTGGAAACATATGGATGGAGGAGATATTACAGCAAATATATTAATAGCACAATTATTAGCATATAGAAATTTTTCAAAACCATACGAATTTCAATATGTTCAAGAAATGTATAATATAGAAACTTGGTGGAAAATGATAGAACCACAAGATAGTTTTATTCAACAATTAGCCTTAAAAATAATTTCTATAACACCGCATAATATTGGTTGTGA